GTCCGGAAATCGGCTCGCCGGGTGAACTAGTAACTTTTTCATCTGGAGTTCCTGCGAAACCTGTTGACGTTTTTTTTTGCTTGTACGATTCATTCGCTTTCATACACACCACCAATATCTAATAGAACTATTTTAGACAGGTCGCTGCCCTACCACCGAATTTTTCGTTGCTTGTTCTGTGACAAAACTGAATTTTGGTCTTATAAATTGAAATACCTAAATAAGGGAGGGGCCGAAATTTTCCTCCGTCCCGGGCGGCTAACACTCACGGTACGCCACTGGGTAGAAGGGAGAAAAGTAAGGTTATTACAGTTTAGAAGACATACCATCAATTAAAACATTACATAATTCCAATTATGATCACGGAGTGTTTTGCCGATGATTCAGTAGCACACGATTTAATAAAGTTGTCCAATATTTAAAGTTTTTCTGAAGTAGGCAATAATATTTTCTGTTTTTACCTCTATTATTGTTGTTTTAACAGCTTTCCTTTTTTGCTGGTTTTCTTCAGTGAGCTTTTTGGAGCTATTGAAACTTGAGTTTTTGAAAATAAATCAACGCGAGAAACCAAGAACGCATACGACGACCGCGCAAAGTAGATTGATTAAAAGCAAAGAGCAGTAGTTCCTTTAGTAGCATTAATACCATAATAGAAGGACTAGAAAATTCGATTTAATTATTCAGCATAAATAGAAAACAAGTTTTTATGCTTGCCATCTTTATTAGATCCAAAATTTGTATGAAATTTCATAAAAAGGATATATGGTAAAGGAAATAAAAAGATGGACAATTTATAGCTTAAAAGATATTAGTAATTCAAAATCTCAAGAATTAAATTCTTAAGTTTCTACTTCTGGAGATGATCAAGAGGGAAGTTTTCTGATTTATTTGAAAAATTCAAAAACACTTTCTTAATTTGAGGAAAATAGCTATGAAATATGTATTGATAAGTGCCCCAGCATCTTCCATTGAAAGTGAAAGAATTTTGAGCACTGAAGGTAACATTTATGAGCCGGCAAGAAATAGGCTATGCCAGGGGTGGCCAACAGTTTTTGCTCCCGGGCCAAACCAGAGGCTGCCCTAGAAAGATTTTGAGGTGGTGCGAGATCTCATTGTGGTGTCACCCGTAGAGACTAAATTGTACATAGAAATTACAGATACATTTTTCACATTATTATGCTTTATCAACATTCTACACTGTACTTACGAGATTTGTAATGGAGGGTTAACTCTAAATGTACAGTGAGTTGTTGATCCTTTTTTTAGGCGTCAGAATTTATCATCGAGCTATTCGGACTTGAGTAGCTAATATTGAAAGATTGATCGCGGGCCACAAATTCATTAGACGGGCCGGATCCGGCCTGCATGTTGACCATGCCTGGGCTATGCCCTGAAAATGATGACATTCTCATGTTTTTGCATTTCAATTTAAGGGTTTTACAGTTTGAATATTAAACTTTTATTAGTTTTATGTATTTAAAGTTTAAACTTTAAATGAAAGAGAAACTTTAAATAGGTTATATCTTATAATATAACCTATATTTATTGATAAAATGAATAATTTACATTGAAATTTTTTATAGTATTCAGTTTGTCATATAATAAATAGTAAATATTTAACAGAAATCTATTATTTTTTATTACCGGCCTTATACTCGTACTTAACATTCTAACAAAAATATTAAAATGAAAAATTTGGCGATTATCAAAACTGATTAATAGGAAAAATGGCCGATATTCGTATTCATTAAAAGGAGTAGAGAGGTTGTCTGTTTACAAACTGACTTTACCTCTATGGAAGTAGTAGTTGTGTAAGTAGTGGAAGAGATAGTGTTTAGGAAAGGATAGTAAATAGGGAAAGATTGAAGGTGATTATGGAAACCATGGGCGCCTGCATCGCCTTTATTAATAAACGAACGAAAATATAAAACAAATAAGAATACAGGTAAAAATACATAAAATGTATAAACCTTTACAAAATACAGTAATAGTGCAAGAAACATTGAATATACAGTATATAATGGTAAAAACTAGTACTGTACGTATATAGTTGCACAGTAGTAGTGACATCGCAGTACATGAATAAATGTAGGGTATTACCCACAACTAATACAAAATAATCGGTACAATACTGATAAGTGATTACATAAAATTGAACAGGTACAGAATAGCTTATATGATAGTATTACATATTTATCGCTTGCTGTAAAGATGGACAGTAAAGATGCTGGTTTTTGTAGAATTAATTGCCAATAATCTTGATCTGGAGGCCGTAATAAAAGGCTATTATACTGTATCTGCGTGCTTCCGTATCTTTGTACCGACCAATTATTTTCTTCTCCGTGTATTCATACACTACATTCTGATAACTTCAACTTGCTTTTCGTATGCCAAATTTGCACTTTCGTATACATTCATCCAACAAATAAAATGTTTGAACTATCAAGAAGTGATGTTTTCTGTTTGGTTTCAGTAACATCAGAAATAGTTGAAAATATTAATTTGTATGTTATACGGATAAGGAATTCTGTAATTCTATCTATTTTTTCTCTGTAATCTATACAAGTTTGAGAATTTTAATACAGCACTTCTAACCAAGTAAAAATGGTAAGTAAAAAGAAGCATCATTAGAAGTAAGATAATTAAGTGTTATTTTAATGTGTAATAATAAAATATTGGAGTAATATTTAATAGTGTAAAGTAGTGATATGGGAGGGTTTGTTCACAATTTTTTGAGGTATGTAATGTTGATATTGATATATTAGAATTCAAAAAATTGTCAGAACTTTTTTAAACTAAGTAATGATGCAATTATTGTGTAGAAATCAGTGATGATGATATGCAAAATACTGATTTTTGTTTAGGATTAGCACTGCAGAAGATATGTATACATTGTTCTGAAATGCATTTGTAACAATAAATTAAACAAATAAAATTGTAGCATCATGGTCATTAAAAACCTTTGGATGTTAGAAGGGCTGTATTGAAATTCTCAACTTGTAAGGATTATAGAGAAAAGAAAGATAATTTGTCTGTGTTTTTGTTTAATTTGTATATTGTAAATATAGTGGTATCAACTCTGTGTTGATTTTTCCCATTAGAAATATGGAAAGCGAATTAATCCATTCCCAGACCCTAAACAATATTCATTTTGATAAACTTAAAACAGCAAATATATGTAATTTAAGGTAAGAATAACATGATGAAATGCTCTAATAATAAATTAAAACACGAAAATAATAAATAAAATATGTAAATACATTGTATTGAACAGAAAGTTTTTGCATATTTTTAACAGCTGTAGTTAGTTAAAATAGATGTGTAATTTAATTATAATGGTTTTCAAATTTAACACATTGCTAATGTGAAATTGTATTCTTTGTTCAGAAGCTTATTTTTAACTTTTTACTTCACATTTTGTTTGTGTAAAATCAAGTTAAAATATCTTTAAATAAAAAGCATATTAGCACATTGTACTTCATGATTTTGGAAAGGATATAATACTGCACAAGTGTGTACTGCATAAAGTGTACAAAGACGTTTCTAACTTCAAACATGTCAAATGTGGTTTAGTTCAAATTTCCTGAATAGAACTTTTTAAAGGATTCAAAACACAACCAATTGGTAAAGAAAAATTGCAAGAAGAAATTATTAAAAATTGACAAACAACATGCAGCATATATATAACAAAACATGCCAAGAATAAAGCGAAAAAAGCACTGAAAACATATGAGTGTAATGCGAGAGTGAGAGATGACTTGAAGATTGCATTTATGCTTTGAATACATTTTTTCACTGCATGCACTGTTCACTTTAAAGCATCGTTTGAACTCCATGGTGAATTTTTTGCTGGAATTTAGTATTTGAACTCTGATGAATACAAAGTTAGTCATTTGAAGTACAAAGTACTACTGTAATGCTTTCTACTTTGCTATTCTCTGTAAGAAAATAAAATTTTTCTATATCAATAGAAGGTTTTATAGGTTTATTTTTTTGTGGTTTTCTGGAAATCAAATCCTTCTCATAAATATGAAATGCTACTGTGCTTGAGTTTTGAATTTTTGACATTTTTAGGAACATGCCATGTCCAAAAGTTGAGGCCTATATAAGGTCAGATTTCTGTATATAATTTTGATGTAATGAGACTACTACTGAAATAGTTTGACAAACTTTGAATTTTAATTGTAATATTACAAAATATAAAGTAATTTTATAAATATTACTATTATTTTGTAATATTTTATAAAGACATTGACCAAACTTATTTAAAATAATTGTATTATGGATTAATTTGTATTAACTTTATCATTTAATTATATTTAATTTGAATAATAAATAATGAGAATTTTAAAAAGTTGACAAGTTGATTGGAAAAGTCATTAAATATAGCATCTTACTTTAAAAAAATTCATTCATTAAAATATTTTACATTATAGCATCAATAAAAGAAGTTTTAGATCTATGGAAGACTTTTATAGTGGATGTAGAAGAAATTGGTTACAAATTAAATGTTAAAGTTTTCTTCCAACAGACTGTTTGGCAGAAAAAGTCATCTGTCACTTTAATTATTCTATATTTACTAGATCCGAAAGTTACAGAATTGTTATTTCATCCAAGCAGGTTAGTATTGGTAATAATTTTTTATGACTATTGAGCAGAAATTAATTTAATATCCTGGTTTGAAGAAACTTTTACATAATTTTACACAAGTCTTCTAACATAATAGATATTACAATTTCAAATTAAGGCCGACAGACACTGGCAAATTCGTCTGCATTGATCACAAATATATAATTTTGTTTCTAACAAAAAATGACTTCTAATCTTAATACTGCGTTGAGTAATAACAATCCACAAAACCTTTTTATAACAGTGTTGTGTTCGTAACAATTTTCACTAATGTTTTCGACCTCCACCGAGGTCTTCTTCAGGTGGTGACTAAACAGTGTCTCCTCTTGACCGTTGGAACGATGACGCCCGAGATGTAAATAATGCACGTATCATGTTTCACCTCTCCACTTGTCCCAGTTCGAATTCTTCGAATAAGTATCTCCACACCTGCGCAATCGTCTCTCCATCTTTAAATCGCATCTGTCACCTGGAGGCCTGGGAAATTTATAAAGCCAACATTGAGGGCACCTCCTGCATCAACTTTAAAGATGGAGAGACGATTGCACAGGTGGAGATACTTATTCAAAGAATTCGAACTGGGACAAGTGGAGAGGTGAAACGTGATACGTGCATTATTTACATCTCGGGCGTCATCGTTCCAACGGTCAAGAGGAGACACTGTTTAGTCACCACCTGAAGAAGACCTCGGTGGAGGTCGAAAACATTAGTGAAAATTGTTACGGACACAACACTGTTATAAAAAGGTTTTGTGGATTGTTATATAATTTTGTCTGTCTCTTTGGGAAAATTCTTCTGCATTCTCTGTTGAATTCTAATAGAAAATCATTCATATGAATATTATTGACATTAAAAGAAAAAAAAAACAAACAATTAAATTATTGTGTTATTATGAAAAGCCATATTCAACTTTTAATAATGTTATTAATCTTTAAATATTTTCCATTGAATAAATAAAGTATATTTACACGTTACTGATTTTGGTTCTGATAAAAAAATAAATTTCAAAATAACAGAAATACAATTTTATATACTTTAAACAAAAAACATACAACAGTAATAATCCTATATATCTAAACTAGCTGCAAGGACCCGCTTTGCTGGGTTTTTATTTTTATGTAATATAGTTTTTTTTATATATATATAAAAGACTGTTTTTCTAAGTAATCTAGAATCTAGCTGCAAGGACCCGCTTCGCTGGGCAAAAAGTAACGATAGTGAAGATTAAGATAATTACATTATAGCTAATCTTACCTGTTTTCACAAAATGCAAGAATTAGGTCCCCCGTTTCCAGACTAATTAGAGAATTTTTACGTTTAGTCAAACGAACAAATTTCAACGTTTCTGGAGCGTTTACAATCGTTCTATAATCGAACCAATTCGAATTTTATGTTTGAATTTAATTCGAACAAATTCGAAAAAATCGAACAAAACATTCGAAATAGAAAGCCACTTTCAACCACTTTCAGCCTCATATCTCCCACATCCTTACAGCTATCGAGACGCAACCACCCCTATGCACGAATGGAGACTTGGGGCTACCACCACATACAAACACCATTCACGTGCGATGTGTAGTTTTGGCGAAAAAGTGAAATATAGGGACATACATGTCCATTTTTTTATATATATATAGATATATAAAATTACTTGTCCTGACTGATTGATTCATCATCACCCAGGGCAAACCTCTGAACCTAGAGGTGAAATTTGGCACACAGTTAGGGTACATCATGGAAACGCACACTAAGAAGGGATTTTTCAAAATTCCCACGCAGGGAGAGAGGGAGAGCATTAAGGCTTAACCAGAAAAACTACTACTACTGTACTATTTTAGATGAGATTTTTTGTTTTCAACGTTTAGTCTTCATTGAGTATTAGGTGTATTAAATTGATAAACATTTCAGACATTGTTATATTTTCATATATTTTGATTTTTTAACCAAATGTTCGAACCGTTTTAAATTAAAATGCGTTATTGCATATTGGTTCGATTATAGAATGACTGTAAACGTTCCAGAAAATTGAACAAATTGAAAACAGTTTATTTGATTCTCATCATTCTCAGCGATAGGTGTTATATAACAATTACTATGGTTGTTGAAATACTAAATATAAATGGTGCTTGCTTGCAAAATCTGTGCGTGCAAAGTCGCAGGTAACAGCTAGTTTATGTATATAGGGTGTGCTATAAGTCAAGATCTAAGAGATGTATGTTTATCATTGTTTATTCTTTTACAGATGAAGCTCAGTGCGAAGAAAAAAGAATTGATTCAAGTTCTGTTTATGATGGAAACTCACAGTAAGTGTGATGTTGCAGGTGAGTTTAAGAGGCTGCATCAAGCCATCTCACTAATCATACAAAGCGGTCCAGATGTAGCCCGTTAAAAATTTAACGATTTCTCACATACTGGTGGTCTCCACCATTGAAATAATTTAAATTAATTCTTCCTGGCTCCTCACCATGTTTTATTTTTAAAAATATCAAAGGTTAACATAACTCTTATAATTCTTGAGTTATGAAACACTCTGTTAAAATTTTTCTACACAAGGAAGAATTATACATAAAGAACAGTGAAAACCATACCTGAGCAATTTCTAATGTACCTTTGGCATGCTAAGGTTAGAAAAACAGTTATAATCAACATATTCAACACTTAAAGAAATATGCTTTCCGAAAAAGTATTGATAGGCATATAAAATACAGTGGGTGATCGGTTAACGAACAAATCGGATAACGAACACTTTCGCGAAAGATTTTTATGATCGGACAACGAACACTTCACTGAACAGACATAAAAAGAAGCGACGAAAATAGCAAATACCGACTGGTTTTCCTTTGTTTTCAGGTAACTTTTTGGAGCGCGGGAGACCTCAACGTCGATGCTCAACCTGATAATATACTGATTAGATAGTATCCCTCGAACTTTGAAATACTCCCTTGTAATTCCAACCTTTTATTTTTCTGACAAACAATTCTTTTATAGTATTCGCGAGACTGTCGGGCGGGCACTCATTAAGTTTTGTGTCGGTTTTTATTTTCGAAAGGTGAGAGTATAATAGCAAAGGTAGAGAGTGCGCAAAAGATGTCTGATGTTGCTGGACAGTATGGCTTGAACAGGTCTACAGTAGGCCGCAGTTCAATCTTATCTAAGAAAGATACTGTATTATCAAGAAGACTCAAGCAGCTAAAGGAATAACAAAAATCACATCTGAGAAATAAAGAACAATGAAGAGCTCATAATGGAACCTGAAACGGATCTGACGACAGAAGAACGTCAAGAACTCTTGAATAGAGAACACCAAGAAACTCGGCAAGATATGTTTTATTCTGAAAAAGAGGATTAATGCCGATATCTGCTATTAATTAAAGATCTTTTGAAGAAATGGGGGATGTCAGATCAACGGTCTTAGAATGGCATACAAACCAGGTTGAGGTTAATAGGCTTGGGGATCTCCACAATTACAATGCTATTAATTGCTTCTGAAAAATCCTGAAGAAGAGAGAAAAGCAATCGACATTAGACAGATTATTTAACCCCAACGAACAAAAACCATAACTAATAAAAATGCACGTCTGTGTATATATGTATTTTTATTATTACATATAAATAAACGTAGTAAGAAAGTATATATTTTTTATTTTGGGGTGTCTCCAGAACAAATTAATCAAATTCCCATACAAACCTATGGTAAATTCATAATCGGTTAACGAACAATTCGGATAGCGAACAAAGTCTTGGAACGGATTATGTTCGTTAACCGATCACCCACTGTATACGAATATCGTATAATGAGAGTTCTCATCAGGTCTCTAAGTAAAGAGAGACTACTTTCCCTATATTCCAATTTCCTTACTTCTGAAGAGGAAATAGTTTCTAGGTAGGCATCTATATTTTAACAGATCACTCTAATATCGCAAAGTTTTTTCTGGTTTCCAAGATTTAAAATTTTGTTGTTATAGGGAAATTTTACAATGTACTTTTCCGTTCGGCAAATTTTAACCATTTTTAATTAAAGAAGGACACTGAAATAATATTCTCTCACTTTTTCTCTAAATAAGCCTTTTTCCATAGTAATTAAATTAGTATAATCTGTAGTTAATTAATACAAATTTCTTCTAATGCTCTTTTACTTTTTTTACGTAAATTTTCTTTCAGTTTTTTTGCAATACATTACTTAAATGTTTTATATAAGAACTAGCAGATAGGCTCGGCGTTGCTCGGGCAAAAGTAACGATAACAAAGATTAAGTTATAGTCAACCTTAGCCATTTTCACAGAATGCAAGAATTGGGTCCCCCTGTTTCCAGACTAATTAGAGAATTTTTAGATGGGTCTAAAAATATGTTCAATTTCCTGCAAAAAACTGCATCTGCGTCTTGCATGTCGCTTTCTCTTAACACTTCCATTGTTAATGGAAGTGTTAAGCCTTAATCCTGTCCCTCTCTCCCGTGGAAAGGAATTTTGAAAAATCCCTTCATAGTGTGCATACAAAGCGGTCCAGATGTAGCCCGTTAAAAATTTAACGATTTCTCACATACTGGTGGTCTCCACCATTGAAATAATTTAAATTAATTCTTCCTGGCTCCTCACCATGTTTTATTTTTAAAAATATCAAAGGTTAACATAACTCTTATAATTCTTGAGTTATGAAACACTCTGTTAAAATTTTTCTACCCAAGGAAGAATTATACATAAAGTATAATTCTTCCTTGTGTTAGTGCACAAGGAACAGAATTAGTAATTGGTGCACAGTTAGCGTATGTCACCAGAATTATACATAAAGTATAATTCTGGTTACATACACTAACTGTGCACCAAATTTCAACTTTCAACTCCTAACCATTTCGGCTCTGCGCTGATTATCATCATCAACTCATCTCGATAATGTATATAGATTAATATATAGTATTATTAGGCTACATTATATTTTTTAATAATATTAATTCTAATTAATTAATTCAAATAATATTATGAATTAGTAATTCTAATTCAGAATATTATCACATTTTATTTTTTCATAATACAGTAGTCTAGAAAATTCAGCACTCGATAACCCAGAAGTCCGGATAACTCGGCCACATCCTGGCAGGGCGAAAAAACCCTTAGTTAATTCATTTTCATTATAGACAGCTTTACGCCTCAAAGTATTTTTCTGAGTCTGTCTTATCAGGTAAATTACTGTACCCAGTATATTCATTAATTTTCATTTTCATGTAGTAAAGGCTCTATGCCTTCATAAAGTACATGCTTTTCCTTTGTTTAAGGGTATTTGGGCAGTTTGTTCTCTGTTGTATTCTCAAGCAAACAATACATACAAGTACAGTACAGTACAGTATTTTCTGAGGAAACACGCATACTTATCCTTTTTTAACCCCATTCCCGATAACCGGCATTTTCACAAACTCAGCCATCCTCCGGTCCACATTAGGCCGAGTTTTCGGGACTCTACTGTATTAATTCCTAATATTTTAATTCTAATTTTAACTCAAAATTAATTTCAAAGCAAAAATATTTAAGATATTTACTTCGGAAGAGTTGGGTCTCAGATGTTCGTCAAAACTATGCTGAATTAAAATTCCTTGTATTTCTGAATTAAAGTCACAGCCTTGAAATTTGCACAAGTACTTTCTTGAATGTATCTTTTTATGACGTTTCAAATTTCCATGATTTTGAAATTTCTTATGACATTCCTCACATTCATGCGCTTTATCCTTTCAAATAAAATATAAGTTTAATATGAAAATAAATTTTTCTTCTTAAATAATTACCAAATATATTTTTTTACGATAATAGAAAAATGTATTTGCGATATGGCATTACTTTCTGAATGTTTGTTATCAATTTCCAATAAAGGAGTTCAAACATTATTTTTTACAATCGAAAACAGTTTGTACTTACCACTACTGGTTTAATGTTTAATTCTTATAGGCTAATGATAAAAAAATTTTTTGGTATTATTAATATAAAACAATGCATTGCAACAATATTGTAATTTCTATTCTTCTTTGTGAATTTAGTTAATAGAGCATTTCAACACAGGTGGAAGACAAAAAAAAATAGTGTCAAATATTCTGAGAACAGAAATATCTTAGAAGCTTTTTTTTGCTACTATATTTAAATATTTCTTACAATTTAGTACATTAACAATGTTAATGACGTTTTACGTAATTTCTTTGTGTTTTATTTCTGTTCGAACTGAGTTGTTTGCTTCGACGTCACTTAATTCCATGTCATCGTGATTTTCTACGTAACAGTTTTATTTCGATAGAATCATAAATATTATCTGAAATTATTAAGATGGTAGTCAAACCTGCATCACACTTCAAAAGTAGCCACAACACACCAAACGCTCATGATCTTGTCTGCAAAGTGTTTGTTAAAGTACCTATGGATGAACAAAGTTCAACCAGCTGTTGCAAATGTCAAAGGACCAATAGTGCAGAAGAAGACAACGATCTGCGTTTGTTTGGTGTCATCATGATAGAAATGTGGAGGTATCATGTAACAGCTAACAGATGTGTGTCACGTCGGCTCTTGTGTTAGTTCTTGCAATGAAAGGTTTTACTTTAAAGTACATAAACTTACTGTTTTTTATTCTGTTGCTGATGGGATCCGGTTTCCTTTAACGTAGCTTTCGTTAAGATCAGCCCATTCTTTTTGGCAGTTATGGCTGTTAGTATCGTTAAGTTCAAACTTATTTTTAGTTTTCTGTTTAGTTTAGCAATTCAGCGCTTTGTCTGCTGGTTTTTGGTCGGGAAGCTTGGTTCGATTTCGTTGAAATTATTTTCCTAGCCCCTTTTTCGGCAACTTATTAGAAAAAATGGCAAACTTGGCAACCCACAAAGTACAGCAAAGTCTGCAGTCAGCATTTTGTAGGTGGACAGAAAATTGATCACCCTGACAAACAAACGATCTGCGTTTGTTTGGTGTCACCATTTTTTCCAACATGCTACAAGAAATGGGGTTGTGGAAATGTTGATAGGTTTACAAGGCAGGCAAGAAGAAAAGGAGAAAAGGTAGAGAGTGTGGGTAACAGCACCGAAACCATCTGTGATCACCAAACATGCCACTGGAACACAAACTGATATAGAGAAACCACTTTATAGTACAGATAATATTGCAGTCTTATTTTGTGAAAAGTGTAATGATATGGATACCCAAACTAACATTTATTGTAAAAAGCTGTTACCTAAACCTATTAACCAAATAGTATATAACCAACAACTTCAGTTATGTCAGTTGAACCTCGATTCACATTTGGATCTGTGTTCTTGTCCATGGAAATCTCTATTAGTTTGGAAATGTGTCCACATTTGAACAGTTTCTCTCATTTCTTTAAGTTACTTTTCCTCAGAGTTTTGGTAGATATTGCATCAAAACCACACTGCCTTCTAAGAAACATTATTCGTTCACTCTGAAAAGGAGAAGCATATGCCATCTTTGTAGCCCCGATTCTGTTACCCAGTGTCGCCGCTAGAGGCGCCTTGATCTAGTTTCACCATTCCTTCCACTAGCTCTATATGATAAAATTTACTTTTTACTTATAAATTAATAATTTTTGCATTTTGTAAAAATTATTAATTTAAGCAATTTTTGGATAGAATTGATTAATTGGATTCTAGGCAAAAAATGCCTTTAGACTATTATTCCACAGAAAGATTCGAAAAATTCTATCCATAGAAATAAAAAAACTATCATCAATAAACAATTTAAATAAGTTATATTATTATAGTTAAAAACTATAGACCAATTTTTATAAAAATCTGATTTTTTAATTCTTAAATGAAAGATTATTATATTTATGACCTAACTAGCTTACCCGTCGCACATTGCTGCGATTTCAGAAGAAAGGAAATTCAAGCAAACTCGTTATGATAAAATTCAATTTACATTTTATCATTTTTATTGAAACTTATTATTATATTATTATTATTCATTTTCATTGGGAAAACATTTCAAAGTGTCGTTTCAATTCTATTTATTTATTGGAGTG